TGAGTAAATTATTAAAGGCTAGTCTCCTCTCCCTTTCCCTGATGATTTATCATTTGTGCATTATGTGCTTGTCACTCGCGCTCAAATTTGTTTGTGTTGTCAAAATTCCAAAAGAGTCTAAAGAAGACAATAGCAAAGGGTTTAAAAGGAAAAGCCATAAAAGAATGTGAAAACGAAAACAGTCGTCTTTTCTCTGTGTATTTGCATACCCAGTCTCTTCTCCCACACGCGTTTCCCTCCGACCGCTCGCAATATCAAGAGACGCCTCTGCGGTTGCCGCCATGGTCACCGGTACACGGTTGGCTTCCTGCGAGCCAACTCCTTCGGCGTCTACCCCATTTCTTGCGAGCGAGGCTGCCGACACGCGACAACTTGACGGCAGGATGGCCGCAACCGTACCGCTGATCTTTGGCAACGGGCTGGACCCACCCGACACCCATGCGTAGTTCCTTGTGGCTGATGTGCTGCCGACTGCGAAATGCCGAGAAACGAGGACGCGATGATGAAATTGGCGCGACTAGTCATGCGAAACATTAGCACACACACACACACACACACACACACACAAACCCATCTGGGAGTCGAAGCATTGACAAGTCGATCCAATCGCCAGGATCCGCCCTCGAAGATGGAGCTGTAAGTAAGGCAAATCACTGTGCGAGAACTTTCAACTCGGCTAGATCTACCCTCCTTACTGCTGATTTTTCAACGTATGGCGGTCTTGGCAAAGGTACAACTAACCGCAGCTATCGCCAACCACTTTGGCATATGAAACTTTTGCTGGGGTAATTTAGACGACGAAACAGCGTTGCTTTGCCTGAAGGCTTGTCATACCAACAGGATTCGAAGACGGTTTACCTTCGAGCTGGCTCGTTTTCTGTCGGTACGACCTCGTGATGTTTTCAAACGTCATGGACTACTGATCGACCAATTTCCACCACGGTCAATAGGTTGGGATCTCAGTAGTAGTGCAGATAAAAAACGATCATGATGGCAATGAGGGGAATTCGTTTGGCAGCGATGAAGGAGGAGGGGAGGGAACGGGAGGACAAAGACCAACGCGGAAGTCGAGGAGGGAATCATGGCGTGGAAAAGAGCAAGAACTTCGAGCCAGATGACCTTCCCCACCACAAACGACGCAGGGCCAGAGAAGACCTGCCGAAATTTTTCTGTCAAAATGATGATGAGAATGATGGTAGTGAAAGCAAGGAGGATGATGGTAAAATCATCCCAAAACGAACTCGAGTGCAAGGTAGCAGCCTTGGTAGACGCGTGCAGTTTTCTTCTGTTGCTACCGTTTCTGTCTTCATCCGGAGAATAGCTTAGCCTCCCCCATGCCGCCCCCTCACGGGGCCCCAGTTAATGGCATTTAGAGATGCTTCGTGTTTTCAACCGCAGGTGACACTGGCGTATTTTCATTGTTCA